GTTTTGGTGGTTACTATTTTTAACTGTCTTGAACGGCCAGGAAGAACCTGCGCGGAAGGTAGCCAGGGCAGCGAAGACCCATTTCCTGGCTCTGGAGCCCACAGCCCTGGGATGGTTTCCTGTTTGTCAAAGCAGAGCTGTGTTTGTGCGCTGGGGGAGGCTGGTATTCCTTCACAGTTTTAAGGTTTTGCAATACTGTTAAGAAAGGGAAAAAAAGCAATCAACTCTGCCAGACTCGGCCCACCAAGTAATTGTTTTTCTGCTGGGTTGGGAGGAGAATGGTGAGCATGGGGAAGCGAGGGAGAAAGAAGAAGGAATGGAAGAAAAGACAGCCTTGCTGGAACAGGATGTACTTAAAATTCTGTCTGTCCGCTATCCATCCCAGAGCTGGCTTCTCCAAGGGTGTAGGAGGCCACTGCAACTTCATACATATGCATAGTGTCAGCCAGATTTCTAGAGCACAACTCTGAAGATGTATTTAAGAGGAAGCTAAATGAAATGCACTCACGGGCCGTGGGAGTCTCACTTTGTTTTTAATTTATTGTGACAAACTGTGGTGTAGAGACATGGTACGGGCTGAAGCATCATGGGTTATCACAGTATTCATACCTGATGTGAATCTGGGCCAGGACCAGATAACCAAGACCAGAGTGGCTCACCCTGGAAAGGGCCACTGGCCCTGGCAAGCAGGACCCATCAGATCTTGGCAATCCAGGGAACAGGGTATTGTTACAGGTTCCCATTTGTCCTCAGCCTACTGTGATTTGCAACTGTTTGGAATGCGGTGGCTTTCTTAGGACTCTCTTAGCTTTTGGATGACCCTATTGCTGAGCAGCTTACTGTCCACCAAGGCCTGTGGAGACTGAGGTTAGCAAGGTCAACATTTTGAAATCAGAATGCAGATGTCGTAAGTCAAACCTCAGGGTTCTGTTTTGACTCTTCTTATGGTCATGTTGCAGGATGTCTAAGACATCACTATATTTGTTATTTTCTAAATATAGTATAGGCCTACCAGGACTTCATTGACCCACATGGATGTCTGTGGGACACAACCTCACTGTCCTCTCTGGGTCTTGGTTTTCTGAATGATAAAATTCAGGGATTGAACTGAGAGTCCTCCTGACTCAAACATCCCACCCCTGAAAAAAGGCAACAAAAGCTCACTAGACGTTACTCCTCTAATCCTTCCTTCCTCTCTCTCTCTCTCTTTCTCTCTCTCTCTCTCTCTTTCAACAGGGTCTCACTATGTAGCTTGTCAGGTTCATAATTTACTATGTAGACCAGCTGCTTTCAAACTCACAGTGATCCGCTTGGCTCCGCCTCCCGAGTGCTGGGATGAAAGGCATGTGCTTCACGGTTATTTCTTAGTTGAGCACAGTGGATTACTGTTTCTCCTTGCCCCCTGTTTGGGGGTCTTTTCCCCATCACTATAAAACTATCCTCAGTTGTTTACCTGGCGAGGTTCTCAGTGCTGAGTTATCAGGGCTGTGCCACTACTTTTTTGGTTATCTGTTTGGCTTGGTTTTGATGATCTCCTGTGCTAACTCGTGCCACATGTGGTGACTGAGAACAGCCAGCTTCAAGGGCCATTTCATATCTGGTCCTGGATCTGTGCTGCTTACAGTGGCTCCTCACTGGCCCACCACACACCCTCCTCCAGCTTTATTACACCTGATGCAGTGCGGCATGGCCCAAAGGCTAGGCTTGTGCTCTGCCTGTGTGCATTCATGGAGAAGCCAGAAGACAAGCTCACTGTTGTTCCATGGGTACCATCCACCTTGCTGTTTGTTTGTTTTTAGACAAGATCTCTTAATGGCCTAGTCCTTAGTAGGCTGGGCTAGCCACTCAGCAAAGCCTCAGAGCTGCTATCTTTCCCATCCCAGAAGTGAATCACAAATGTACATCACCCACTGTCCTGTTTGCGTGTGTTCTGGGGATCAAGCACAGTCCCTTGTGCTTGCATTCATCAACTGAACTATCTCCCTAGCCTTCACATTCTTTCCTTAACTAGTCCTTCACCCACCAGAAGACTCTTGCCCTATGGTCTTAGGATAGTATTTCTCTGTGGCTTCCCTCATCTCTAAACCAGGTTTTCCACCTAACATTGCGATATGAATATGAGTGCTCCACGGACTCATGTGTTTCAACCCAGCGTGTGTCAGTATTCAGGGAGGTTGTGGAAACTTTGGAACATGAGATACGGTGGTAAGGACGTGGCATGCTGGAGGGTAATAGTTGCCTGGGTTCTGGCTGAGCTCTCTGCTTCCTGACTGTCACTAGGATATAAGCAGCCACCTCACATTCCCACTGTTGGGAGCCATGGTGCCACCCCCTGCCATGTCTACCACTTGCTTCTTGACAACGATTTGCTTAAGAAAAGAGAAAGGCACCAGTACATTGGTCTTCACAATTCATGACACTGGATCTCCTTCCGGGCAGAGTTCCCATCATCCTCTTTTCTTTGCCATTTTGGTGACATTCCCTACGTTGGCCTTCAGTGACTTGATACTTATGCAGAGTTCACCATTATTCCTGCCCTACATTTTTTTTCATGTACTCACTGTGTCAAAACGCCATACTTCTTGTATTGTCTCCTGATGTCAAGTGCAGTACCTCATTGTTAATGATAAGAGAAGGTACCCAACCTTGAGTTGCTACTAATCCAACAGCAGCAAGGTTTGACTTCCTCATCCTACTTCTGTTTTCAACCTGGCCATCTGTGCCCATCAGTGTTCAGCCATGTACTAAGGGTCAGGGCTGCAGACCAGGCTCATGCATGGAGGTCATTGCTTGGTCATAGGTCAAAATTGAAGGAAGCAGAGCATTCGACTTGTTTTGCCAATGACTTCTTCAACTAGTGACCTCTCCTGGTTTTTATTTCCAGCTCTGTAAATCAGGGTGAAGGTGACTCGGCCATGAAATCTCATGATGAGAGACGCTACACAGGTGCTACCTTATCTTGGTAAGCATGACAGTCTCTGTGGAGTCAACTGGCAAGACAATTAATACATCATGATAAAGATGACAAGATGTTTGCTCATAGTTCCTGAGCAAGCACTGCATACAAGTGAGGAATAGGACCTGCTTAGTGTTCTCTGGATACCACCTCTGTCCTGAGTGGGGGTGGGAGGGCAAAGAAGAGCTCTGTCCTGAGTGGGGGTGGAAGGGCAAAGAAGAGCTCAGAACTGAGTGGGGGTGGGAGGGCAAAGAAGAGCTCAGAAGTGGGTAGGGGTGGGAGGGCAAAGAAGAGCTCAGAAGTGAGTGGGGTGGGAGGGCAAAGAAGAGCTCAGAAGTGAGTGGGGTGGGAGGGCAAAGAAGAGCTCAGAAGTGAGTGGGGTGGGAGGGCAAAGAAGAGCTCAGAAGTGAGTGGGGTGGGAGGGCAAAGAAGAGCTCAGAACTGAGTGGGGGTGGGAGGGCAAAGAAGAGCTCAGAACTGAGTGGGGGTGGAGGGCAAAGAAGAGCTCAGAACTGAGTGGGGGTGGGAGGGCAAAGAAGAGCTCAGAACTGAGTGGGGGTGGAGGGCAAAGAAGAGCTCTGTCCTGAGTGGGGGTGGAGGGCAAAGAAGAGCTCAGAACTGAGTAGGGGGTGGGAGGGCAAAGAAGAGCTCAGAACTGAGTGGGGGTGGAGGGCAAAGAAGAGCTCAGAAGTGGGTATGTCTTCGGCTTTTTTGCTTGTCATCAGTGAAGGACCAGAAGGAGTTTCTTTAAAATCTTGTTTTGAGGGCTCAGAATGTAAGGCCTTTCCTCTTGTCTCACTAGGTCCTGGAGTGTTCTTGATGCCCTGGGAAAGATCCCCTGCTTCTTCCTGAATTCCATGTCTTGAGACAGACTTAAGGGTTGTACTGATGACTAGTGGTATCAGAGCTTCTGGATACTGTTTTGATTTCCTCCAGACTGTCTACAGAGTGCCTGTCTGTCTACAGAGTACATGTCTACAGAGTGTCTGTCTGTCTACAGAGTGCCTGTCTGTCTACAGAGTGCCTTTGGTGCCTTTGTCTACACAGTGTCTGTCTGTCTACAGAGTGTCTGTCTGTCTACAGAGTGCCTGTCTGTCTACAGAGTACATGTCTACAGAGTGCCTTTGGTGCCTTTGTCTACACAGTGTCTGTCTGTCTACAGAGTGTCTGTCTGTCTACAGAGTGTCTGTCTGTCTACAGAGTGTCTGTCTATCCACTGAGTGTCTGTTTTCAGAGTGTCTGTCTGTCTACAGAGTGCATGTCTCTACGGAGTACATCTCTGTCTATAGAGTGTCTACCTGTCTACAGAGTGTCTGTATGTCTACAGAGTGCCTGTATGTCTACAGAGTGCCTGTATGTCTACAGAGTGCCTGTATGTCTACAGAGTGCATGTCTATAGAGTATCTGCCTGTCTACATAGAGTGTCTACCTTTCTACAGAGTGTCTGTCTGTCTACAGAGTACCTGTATGTCTATAGAGTGTCTACCTGTCTACAGAGTGTCTGTATGTCTACAGAGTGCCTGCATGTCTATAGATTGCCTTTCTACAGAGTGTCAGGGGCAGGTAAAGACATCAGTTGTCATTTTTTTTTGGGAAGAGTCAGAATGAGAGTACAAATACACAACCAAACACATTTCTAACCATAAGCAACATGTAGGCTGATCTCTTCTGGTGACATGGACTGGTAGCCCTTCAAGGTGTCGGGGTAGAGGATATACACAAGAAAGACTGGAAGGGAAATGGTCTGTAATTTTTCTATAAAAAATACTGTCACAGTGAAATTCCATACTTTCAATCATTGATTGAAGGATGATCCTCTTCCCTTCACTGTGTCTCACCCTGACTCCCCCAGCTGGCCAGGACCCACCACCACTGTGTCACCCTGACTCCCCTAGCTCTTGCTTTTCTTACTCAGAGACTACCAGGTAGAGAATCTGCCTCTCCAACAGCAAGGTCATGAACCAGGAAGGGAAACTGTTCTGTCAGGTTGTGGTACAGGGTTAAATCAATCCACCAGTGTCGAGTTCACTCAGCAAAGGCAATAGTCACTCTCAGGGGACGTCTCTCTACAAGCCAAGTGCTCCCTTTAGCATGGATGGGTGACTTCCATGTTTCTGGCTGTGTCTCCTTCCTTTCACTTCGTTAGACCGCCTCTAGGTAAGATGTGCACTATTGTTTTTCTTAATAAAATGAATTAAAACAGAGCATCCTGGGCATTTCAGAAATTCTTGATATCATATGTGAATCAGAGCTGGGAATCCTTGGAGTCAGATGGACTGGGTTTAATTTGATTGATTGCTTCAGGGTCTTGGGCAAGGGAATCAGCCTGAGTCATTGTCTCACCTAAAAATGGGGATGACACTACCCAGATGAATAGGAAGTTGGTAACCACAAACGCGATGCATGTATGTTATTTGCCTACACATACCGAAGCAGTAGTAGACTTCAAGTGATGTGTTAATAATATTTGAGGTGAGATGCCTTGGCATGCAAGAGATCAACTGGTAGGTTGAACAATTTCTTCCAGAGGTATCGCTTTTGCTCCAGTCACCAAAGGCTTAGAAATACCAAGTGTGGAGGCAGAGGGCTGAGTGCAACAGACAGTTGAAGAGGAAAGCAGAGACCAGGAAGGAACATTTGAAATGAAATCACACTCTTGGACTCTGAAGACAAGGGCTGGGTTTGCGGAGCTTTAGCCATTGTAGCGGGGGTTACAAGCTATAGAGCGCATGGCTGCAATCTCCTCTAAGACAGGCTCTGTATCTGACTGAACTGCCCTGCTCACCCCAGGGAAACAGGTCAACCAAAACATCCTCTCTCCTACCTCACTGCCCTGAGGGAAGCGGGATGGGGGCAGAAACAGAAGACATGAGACCTTCATGAGCTGACACTCTTTCTTTGTTTTATTTTATTTCTTTTTTGAGACAGGGTTTCTCTGTGTAGCTTTGTAGACCAGGCTGGCCTTGAACTCACAGAGATCCACCTGCCTCTGCCTCCCAAGTGCTGGGATTAAAGGAGTGAACCACCACCGCCCAGCTTGAGCTGACACGCTTAACTAAATGCAGTCTTTAGGACCTGACAGTGCAGCGTGTGGAGGTGCTGTGGGCTATTGGTAGCATCAGGTCTTGTGGAATCGTACAAAACATAATGACTACAACCAACTTACAAGAACAAAGACACCTTTGTCATAACACAATAGATGTGGACTATATCCACTTCAGAAGCATGAATGCACAAGCTCATGGTTAAAAACCAGAATGAATATATGCATTTTAAAAAAGACTATCTGTATAACTAAACTCAACTTAATTTTCTGTGCCTTGACTCAATTCAAAGTGAGTTTAAGAACAATAAAAACCTTTAATGTATTCTTCTAGTAAGTCAGGATGGAATCAATCCTATAAAATTGAGAAGTGGGCACAGCGTGTGTAGAATCAAGCTTAAGCAATTGGCAGCTTCAGGATTTAATCACATTGAGAACAAAAGGGCATGAAGAATGTCTAGTCATTCGGGTGGTGATGATGACACTGATGGAGACAATACTTCCTGATACCTGAATCTCAGAGCAATGACATGTGTCTCCCTGAGACTGGACAGGTACTGGTCCTGAACTCAACCCTTCCAGAAAACTTAATGCTGTCTAACTGGAAAATCTGCCTTCTGACTGCTGGGGGCCCTTGAGAAAGGTGTTGGGCTAGACTTCACAGGGAGAGTTAGTCTCCAAATAGCAAAAGAGAAAACAAAACAGCCAAGTAAATTTTTCAGCAAAGCAACTATTTCTTCTTTCTCTCTTAGATTTATTTATTCTTATTTTATGTATATGGTTGTTTTCCTGCATGTAAGTCTGTGTACCACATTCATGTCTAGTGGTCATGGAAGCCGAAAGAAGACATCAGATTACCCTGGAACTGGGTGCTGGCAATTGAACCTGGGTACTCAGGAAGGGCACAAAGAGCTCTTAACCATTGAGCCAGCTCACAAGAAATCAACTATTAAATGTATTATCAGCACATTAACCAGGGATTATGCCAGTTACTGTGTGTGATAAATATGTAGGCACTATTACATATATACATTTTTAATGATGTAAATGGCCCATAACTTAAATGTGTTTGATTTGTTTGCATCCTTTAAACCCTGGGGATTCTTAGAGAGAAATAAAGATGTTAACCCCTGCCACTAGTCACACCAGTGCAATGTTGATTGTGTTGACTGAAAATATAGAGGTGACCAGGCATGGTGGGTACACACCTTTAATCCTAATATTTTGGAAGCAGAGATGGGTAGATCTCTGGGAGTTTGAAGCCAGCCTGGTCTACATGGTGAGGTCTAGGTCAGCCAGGGTTATATATGGGTTAGGGGCTGGTGGAACAATTCATCACATAAAAGTACTTATGTTGCAAACCTGATGACCTGAGGCCAAACCTGTGGTGGATCCTGTGGTAGAAAGAACAAACTCCCAAAGTTGTACACACACACACACACACACACACACACACACACACACACACACACAAATAAAACAAGGATTTTTCCAGAGTGTTGGGGAATAGTGACTGTTAGATGGTCTCTAAGAGGTTGGGAAGATGGTCACATGGACAGACGAAACCCTAGGTCCATTATCTGGCAGAAGAACCTGGCATGGGGATAAGCCAGCTAATTGCATGCAGCCAAGAGCCTGACAGCAGCTAGGCTTTGCAGAACTGTGACAAAGCAAGTTGACTTAGCCACACAGCCTTCTTTTTGTGTGGTTTGTGATTTACTCATCTGAGAATCATGGAACCTTCTAGCCATTGTAAAGGGACAAACTCAGTGACCCCCAAGAGAACGGTTGCTGATTCAGAAACTGAAGAAAGAGAGGACTGTGCGATTCCTGGCTCCTTCTCCTTCTTCGTTCTGGGCTCCGTTCCCTTCTCTCCTGACTGAGTTTCTTAGCCTGTCTGTCTGGCTCTGCAGCTTGATGGCTCTGGACCTGGACGGGGAGGCTCCTCCCAGAGGCCCAAAGCAGGTCTGCTCAGGTCTAAGAACAGTGAGTTCCTCCAGGCACTCTCCAACAGTTCTGTGAGGTGTGCCTGCCGTGCAAACTGACTATTTAAACTATCAGCCTGCAGTCGACTATTGGGCTTCGCTTCAGCCTTTAGCCCAGCCCGTCAGTGGCGAGTTTAGCTGAGCACCATCTCCTTCCCTCTTGCTCCACTTTCCCTGTGGCTGAGAGAGATCTTTCCATTTCATTTTGCAGACATGTGAGGCATCTGATTCCCCCATGTCCCCCGCCCTACTTGTCCACACATCTGGAAGAGCCATGTTCACATCTGGAGACCATTCTCATCTGGAAGATTTCTTTCAACATTCTTTTCTTTGAAACTCAAGCCATGTAACCTCTCATTCAAAAGGGCCTCTCAACTACTGGCATCTTTGCAGAGGCTCGGGAAAATGTCCTTATTTCAGCCCTTCGTGGTGGAATTTATGACTCACACCAAACCCAGCATTATGTTTCTGATTTCTTTCTTCTTCTTCTTCTTTTTTGAGCTTCATGTTTTCAAGGACTGAACGTTCTGGTTTGGATCACGTACACAGGGAAGTTGGAAGCTTGCAGGTTCAGCAATTACGTGGGTGAAACCAATCAGTAGGCCGGTGACCTGGAGCAAATAGGTCATTTTCTCATCAATAAAATTGATCTTTATAATCCATGCTTTATGTTCCCAGGGAATATCAGATGAAGTGAGATAACTAAACATAATTGTCTCACACCCAGTGTAAGATAAGGACGGGTAGGGAAGTGGGGGGGGGGGGCGGTTTGGCTGAGGTAGTCTCTGCAATTGCACACCCACTACCACTGAGCAGGGAAGGGCAGACGTTTCTGGAATGCAGAAGACTGTTAAGAGCCATGTGGCCAGTCTCACCAAGTCAATAGTAAGCTATTTGATCGGTGAGTCTCAAATGAAACATGCTCTCAAATAAACCACCCAGCAGCTGTGACAAAAGGCAGATTCTTTTCTGGGGGTCTGAGTAGGGTGGGAGTCAGCATTCCTAACCAGCCCCACTCCCCTCCCCTCAATGGGCTGGATCACATTTGAGTAATTCAGCATTAGAGAAACGGACTCCACCTTAAAAAAAAAAAAGAATTCCAACCTCTACTAACATGAGAGCTTGTCATTCTTCTTCCTTGTCAAGGGTAATTCTCCAGCAGGACCAGTTGGAAGGACAGTGGTGGGAGGGGGGCTGACATTAAATTCAGATTCCTCAAGTGCACTGGGCCTCACAATGCTCCACCTGTCTGCTCCCCTGCCTCGAGGCGAGGCGGGAGCCAGGTGGCCTCCTGGGTGTGAAGAGGGAAGGAACTGCCCAACTTCCCCCACTGACAGCCTACGGTGTCGCCCTTCTTGGGTCAGGGTTATGCCAGGGTGAGGGATGACTGTCATTGACCTGCAGCACTCAGCCTGATGCCTAGCCAGACTCCACAGGGGAAAACCAGAAGCTCTCTCTCCCTGAGCTGCATTGCCTAGCAACCAGAGGGTAAAGGGGTAGGGAGGGTGGCAAGGAGGACCACGCAAGGAGAGACTGGAGTTCCGAGGACTCCTCCTCACAGGAACACGTGGGATGCTAATAACCTCCAAGGGAGGGTGCCCCTGGGTGTGAGCCTGGACAGCAGGAGGCTAGAGCATGAAAGTATTTGGGGGTTTTCTCCCCATTTTATTGTTTTTTAAGTATTAATAGCAAAGGAGGAAGAAAACCCCTAACTTCTTAGATGAGCTGGCAGAGCTAAGGGGAAGAAACTGAAGTGGTGCTCATAAACACCAAGGAAACCATCCAAGGGCGTGGAGGGAAGAACTGTGTTAAAAACTGAGACATGTCTTGAAAAGCGGCCCAAAAAATAGTTCGTAGAAAGATCTGGAAAGGTGAAATGAACCGCAGCAGCCCCAGTAGGTTCCTGAATGAAGAGGAGAGGCAGGCTGTCCCGGCTGGCCTCGGAGAGCTACAGTCCCCTACAAGCTGCCCCAGCAGGATCTCCAGGGACAGGTGCCATCCAGCCATCAGGAGGTGTTGTATGGCCAACTTCTGCCCAGGGAGGCGGCTCAAGTGAGAGCTTTTATTCTTGTTATCATCTCAGGAACACCAGTTTCTACACAGGGAGCCCGTGGAGACTGTGCGAGTGGCCTGTGATGTGACCCTCCAGCTTCCTGCCACCCCCACACCCCAACAACTGCTGCTCATTGCCACAGGGGCAATCCTTCTGAGACACAGATGGAACCAGGCTGTCCCACGTGCTCTGTAGCACCCTCCCCAGCAAAGGAAATACCAGACTGACCTTGGCACTCTGGGCTTCTCAGGGTTTCTCAACCCTGCCTTTCCTGAGTTGCCCCGAGACCAACAGCCCTGCGATCGATCCAGCCACAAAATCACAGTGTTCTTGGCCAAGCCACAGATTTTTCTTCTGCTCTGCACATTGACAGAACTGCCTATTCGGTTCATCTCCTGAAAAAGTCTTATTTATCCTTTCTAAATCTCAGTTCTCGGGAAACAGAACCAAGAGGGTCTCCGAAACTTTGAGGCCAGCCTGAGCTACATAGTGAGACACAGTCTCAAAAAACAAAACAACAAAACAAAACAAAACGGGGTGGATGGGGGCGGGGCTGGGTGGGTGGGGGGGAGGCTGGAGAGGTGGTTCAGCAGTTAAAGTGCTTGTTGCTCTCCCGGAGAATCAGGGTTCATTCCCAGCACCCAAGTCAGGTGACTCACAACCATCTGTGACTCCAGCTCAATGAGATCTGACACCCTCTTCTGGCCTCCTCAGATACCCATTCCCTACACACCCATAACAACAACAAATATATATATATATATATACACATATGAACGGAAGAAGTATGTATTACTTTGAAAATTTTTAAGCTTTCCAAAGGAATGCATACTCATGGCTTTTGGGGTTATGTTTGTTGTTTGTTTTTTTTGCATAATATGTAAAATGAAAAGCAACAATTTCCCGCATTCATCTTTTCCTTCTCTTTCCACCCCTGCTGAATGCCCGGTCTTTCCCTCCTGCCTCTGCCTCTCAAGTCATGGGATGGCATGGGGCATCACTGTGCCCAGTTAGTCTTTTATCAGTCTTACATAGCTTCTCCTACCTCCCAGCTCTCACCCACGCTCAGCACACATGGAAAGTATTACTGTTTCCATTTTCCTAAAGGAAATCTCTAACGACTTTAGAGTGCATTACCCAGACACATGCTACAAGGATGGAAGGCAGTTCCCACACTGCCCAGCCAGTTAGGAGCATACAGGTGGCTAACTGACCACCAGGGGATTCCATCGCCAATGTGCCCATTAACCAACAGTGGAAAATTGCCGGGTTCTCCGGCAGATAGAGCAGGGAGGGGCCGGTCCACCCAGTCTCTTCCCAGGGCTGATTAGTTACTGGGGTGGGATGAGGGGGGATACACATTGAGTCGGGAGTTCGAAAGTCTGTTGTCTGTCGAAGCAGGATCTCAATTTATTCCAACAGGCAGGAACTTATATAGGGCTGAGGTAGGGGATGGGGATCTTAGGATAGGGTAAGGTGATGTGAGGAGTTAAGCGCCAATAGTATTCCACCAAGCAAGCAGGTAGCTAGGCAGGGGGCAATCTTATATCAGGTCTGCCTGAGTCACCCCCACGTGGAGGTTACAGGTCAGAGACAGGTCGCCAAATTCTAGCCAGGCTCAGGAAGTTACACTGGACCTCGCATCCGAGCCTTTCTTAGGCCCAACAGAAAATGGAGTGAAAAGAGCCCCAAAGAAAAGCAAAATCCGCACACTTTAGCATCAGCTCCTGACCCCTAGTGCTGTGCACTAGCATCTAGAGTTCAGCTGTGAGGTTTTTGGGTCACAGACCGTCTAGCTTTCTGTCTCCCAGTCTCAGAAATCAGGCACGCCCAGCTGCAGCGTCTCTGACAGTTCTTTCTCTTCCTCACGCCCGTGGCTGTGAGAAGGACAGCCTGCCTCCTTCGTAGCTGCAAGGTTCACCTATGGTCCAGGCTTGGCATGTGTGCTAGGCCAGACTAAACCAAGAGGTGTGGAAAATCCCCACACCCCTTTGGAAAGCTGTAGAAGTCAGAAATTTCCTCTGTTCGAGAGATTTGGAAGCTCCATCTCAAGGATCCCACCACCCTGCACACAATGGCTGCCTTTCCTGGTGCAGCTCCTCTCTGGCCCTGGGGGCCTGGCCCTGCCTCCTAATGCAACCCCTCTCTGGGTTTTGAAGGGAGAGCCCTCTTTCTCTTCCAGGCTCTGGCATGCAGTCTCTTTGGCATGATGTTCTAACTCCAACTGTTCTCCAGTTCAGGGTAGGATCCTTCCCGCCTCCCTCCATGGTCTTGAGACTCTGTCCAAGTAAAGCCTTTTCTGAAGTGCAATTTTCTGTCAGCTCATCCCCCCAGCCTGCTGCGCTGACCTACATTCCTTTACAACACTAGTGACTCACGATGCCTTGCACAAATGACCTGTCTCAGGATAGACGACATGCCCTGCAAAATTTACTATGGAAGACAGTAAGAGGCCTGCTCGTCCCCTGGACACGGACCACACAGGAGTCCCAAGACAAGAGACCAAGTGTCTTCCACAAAAAAATGCCAGGCCCCTTCAGAAGCGAGATTCCCTCTCTGAGAACCTACTCACTGCATTTTTACAGTGAATTTCAATACACGGTCCATTTGCCTGCTCTGGTCCTGGTGAATTTTTGTTACCAAGCCTAATTCATTTGTTCGCTCGTTTGTTTGTTTTGTCTTTGTTTTTGTTTATCGAGACAAGGTTTCTCTGTGTAGATTTGGAGCCTATCCTGACACTCTGTCTGTTGCCCAGGCTGGCCTCCAACTCACAGAGATCCTCCTGCCTCTGCCTCCCTGGTGCTGGGATTAAAGGTGTGCGTCACTAGCACCCGGCTCAAACCTAATTCTTAATTCCTGCCCACTTCACCCTACTCTGGCACTCCCTTATGCATGGCTGTTGTCATCTCGAGTGATCCAGGGTTGAAGAGAGGACTAAGACGTCAGGTGGAGGTAAGACCCTGTGTTTCTAAGGGAAAGGAATTCTTTTAGTAACAAGGGATTCTGCTTCAGAATCAGTGGAGTGGATGGAGAAACCCCTACCCGCCACATATAAGCCCTGAGATAGTGGCTTGAAATGCGTCAGGGCAGGTGACAGCTCAAAGGTGAAATTACAAAGAGCATTCTTTTTACATAAGGCATCATTGCTCCCATTGCTCTTTCACATGAGGGCACCAGGCACCCCGGTTTTCTGTCTCCCCCCCGGTATTCTTATTCTGTGGATTGGCCTTCCATAGGTCACCACACAGAGAAGATGCAGTACTCCATCTTCCTCCACTCCCAGGTCACTACACAGAAAAGACACAGTACCCCGTCCTCCTCATCTTACACATCCCTGAAGTGAAGACTTTCATCCTGGGTCTCTCAGGACTTTACCCAGACCGCAGAGTGGTCCTAAGCCTTTCTAGATCGCCTGTCCTCAATCGATGGCCAGACGATCATTCAACAAAATTACCAAGCTTATACAGTGGGCTAAGTTACACATTAAGACTTATCCAGAAAAAAGTTAAAAAAGCTAGGCATGGTGGTACATGTCTGTTTGCTCGGCACTTGGGATTTGGAGGCTGGGAGGATCAGGAGCTGAAGGTCAGCTTGGTCTACATGAGAAAA